AATATCAGATCCGTTTTTCAAAAAGTCTTCATTTGACCATTTCAGCACTAGGGCAATTTTAAATTCATTTTCGGAAAAAACTTTTCAGTTTTTGAATCGCTTCATTCCAAATCAATTGAAGCACTTGAACTCACAAATGCAATAATGTATTTAAATGTCTGTAACGTAAATATAAATAGCAGGAGGGTTGCATAAACAAATTAAATTTGTGTAGGTAATTTTTAATAACACAGAGGAATACATCAAAATCGCATATATGACGTGTTATTCAGTGAATTTAGGACTATCGGCACAATAAGTTCAATGAAAAATTTTGGAGAGATTTTTGAGAGAATGTTCTTTTTAATCATTTTTAATGTAGCTCATATTTCTTTGAAAATTGTGCAAAAACCGCTAATATTTTCAAAGAAATATACTTGAAATTTATTTAAAAAACGATTATCAAGAAACAATTTCATTTTAAGAAAACATGTCCTCCTTCAACTTTTCAATTATATGTAGACATTGAAAAAGTTTAAAACATTTTATAAATAATGTTAATAATAATTATTAAAGTAACAAAGAACACCAGTACAAAGAACTCCTGTAATATGAATATTAGTGTTGTGAGATAAATTAAAAAAATAAATACATTTGTGCAATTTATGAAAAATCAAAATCTATGAAAATATAAGTTATTTAGTTCAATTTGCAATATCTGTAAAAAAATGTTTAATGAACCAATTTGGAATTGTTTTACGGAAAATATTGTTTTTAAAACAAAGAAAGTAAAAATTACCATTCAAATGTTTTTGAACCAAAATATTGAAGTTATTCAAAGCATGTATAAAGATACTCACATGAATGTAAGAAACAAATCAGACAAGATCCTCAAGAAAATTATGTATAAAGGAGTGAGACAAATGTGTTTTATGTCACCCACATGTTTACTTTCTCACCTTACTTCATAAAAAGATTATGTATAGTAATTGATTGCCGGAAATTGGCAATTTTAAAAAAGAAACTGTTATTGCATTAACCTGGTAACAAAAAAGTGGACAAAACTTGTTTCAGGATGTAGTAAATCATTTTCTCTAACATGTTGTGTAGGAAGAATCCATCTTTTGTGACCTTGATGCAGAAAAATCAATTGACAGCAAAACATCTTCATCAGTCAGTATGTCTATCCTTGGTCAACACTAGCCACCAAACCATTCAGACAATTTTTCCAAAATTGATATTCTCCAATTGAACTAAATGATCTCAAGGCATGTGAGTTTTAAATGGAATATTTTAATTTTTCAGGTACAAAGCCTCAACATTTTTTAAATTTTCTTAAAAATGACTTCATTTAAAAAAAATTAATTTTAGTCTTTGGACAGCATTGAGGAGGGTTAAAAAATGGCGCAGGTCTCATTTTCATTAAAATCCATAATTTATCAAAATTGCAAAACATTGGAGTCTGCTCTCCAGGGGCCCTTAACTTGGTGGCTGAGGGGTGCTGCACACTGGGTTTACCAGCCTAGCTATGTCCCTGACAGAGAAAGACTGACAGTCAAAGACGGCCACAGACAAGGTATTTTTTGAAAAACACATTAATATCAGGGATCCCAAAAATGATGTCAAAGATTCAATATCTTGTCCTCAATTTTTTGCAGCATTACAAATATTTACATTATTTTATAAACAGTAAATTTCATTTACTTTTTCTAATAGTGTACCTATGCAACACATCAAATTTGAAATTATCTGAATAACCACAAATTTGTATGAAATTTTTACTTGTCCTCCGTCAATTTAAAAAAAAATACCACCAAAGATCACACAAAAGATCATGATTTTATTACTTTATTGTTATAGAACACAACAATTCTTACCAACAATTCCTTCAGGATCAAAAGGACCAGCATCATAAATTTCTGCGGCAGTAGGCTTTTGATAAATATGTTTTGAAGTGAGTACAAGTTTGTCTACAAATCCAACAGCTCCACCAATGCAGTTCTTGTATTGGGCGTTATCATGATTACCTCCAGGCCCAATGTAACCCCTGAAAACAAATGTCACAAAAATATTCATCAAACAAAATATGCAATTCAAATTTTCTGATAAACTGTACTTAACACATGATTTTCACAAACTCTAAATATTTATATGATTACCTGTATTATAAAACATTTTTTACATACTAAGCAATGAACTTGAGACAGATTATTGGTGTATATGTGTGTGTATGTGTGTATGTGTATGTGTGTATGTGTATATGTATATGTGTATGTGTATATGTGTATGTGTATATGTGTATGTGTGTATGTGTGTGTATGTGTGTGTGTGTATGTGTATGTGTGTATGTGTATGTGTGTATGGAGAAAAAATAATACTAATTAATTGTAGTGCTAGATACAGAAAGGACACAGACTTTTCTTGTACTTGTTTGTTGATTTCCTAATATTGCTTCATTCTGTAACTTGGTGTTTATCAGTTATTGCCGGCACCGTCTACCCGCAGCCTGCTACCCTCACTCAGAGCCTAAATTATACTTAATTTTTTTTTTTTTTTTTTTTTTTTTTAAATTAATGTCTTTTCACATCTCCTTATACCTGAATTAAAGTACATTCAAGAATATTAGCAGAAGAGTAAATATCTTTGTTCCTTTTATGTGCAAATACATCACTGAAAATATCAGAGACTCCCCGTTCTTTTTATTACTCTCAAAAAAGATAATCTCAATTTGACATTTTCAGCACTGTAGGGCAAATTTTAAATTTCCATTTTCGGATAATAAACTTGTTTTATCAGAAATTATTTATGAATCTGCATTCATTCCAAATCAATTGATAGCACTTGAACTCACAAATGCAGGTATAATGTACTTAAAGATGTCTGTAATAAATATAAATAGCAGGAGGTTGCAATATAACAAATTAAAATTTGTGTAGGTAAATTTTTTAATAACCAACAAGGAATACGCGAGTCAAAATCGCATATATGACAAGTGTTATTCAGTGAATTTAGGACTAATCGGTACAATAAGTTCAATGAAAATTTTGGAGAGATTTTTGAGAAAATGTCTTTTTAATCATTTTTTATGTAGCTATAATTTCTTTGAAAATTTGGTGCAAAAACCGCTAATATTTTTCAAAAAGAATAGTACTTGAAATTTATTTTAAATAAAGCGATTATCAAGAAAAAAACAAATTTCATTTTAAGAAACTGTAAGCCTCCTTTCAACTTTTCAAATTATATGTAGACATTGGGAAAAAAAGGGTTTACAAACATTTTAATAAAATAATGGTTAATAATATTATGAATACAAAGAACACCAGTACAAGAAACTCCTGTAATTGCAATTTAGTGTTTTCCTTTTTTTTTGTTGGGGAAAAAGAAATAACAATTAAAAAAATAAATACATTTGTGCCCCATTCATATTGAAAAACATGCAAATCTATGAAAATATAAGTTTATTTAGTTCAATTTGCAATATCTGTAGTTATAAAATGTTTAATTGAACCAATTTGGGAATTGTTTTTACCGGGAGAATATTTTTTAACACAAAGAAAGTAATCCAAATGGTACCAATTCAATATGTTTTTGAACGCAAAATTTGAAGTTATTCAAAGCATGTATCAAAGATACTCACATGAATGTAAGAAACAAATCAAGACAAGATCCTCAAAGAAAATTATGTATAAATGGAGTGAGACAAATTGTGTTTTTTATGTCACCCACATGTTTACTTTCTCACCTTACTTCATAAAAAGATTATGTATAGTAATTGATTGCTGGAAATTGGCAATTTTAAAAAAGAAACTGTTAATTGGCATTAACCTGGTAAACAAAATAAGTGGGACAAAAACTTGTTTCAGATGTAGTAAATCATTTTTCTCTAACATGTTGTGTAGGAAGAATCCATGCTTTTTTGTGACAATTGATGCAGAAAATCAATTGACAGCAAACCATGCTTCATCAGCTCAGTAATGTCTAATTCTTGGTGCAACACTAGCCACCATAACCGCATTCAGAAGCAATTTTTCGCACAAATTGATTTCTCCAATTGATCTAAATGATGCTCAAGGCATGTGAGTTTAAATGGAATATTTTAATTTTTCAGGTACAAAGCTCAAACATTTTTTAGTTTTCTTAAAAATGACTTGCATTTAAAAAAAATAATTTTAGTCTTATGGCCAGCATGGAGGAGGGTTAAAAAATGGCGCAGGTTCTCGCCATTGGTTTCATTAAAACTCATAATTTATCAAAATTGCAAAAACATTGGAGGTCCTGCCTCTCCAGGGGCCCCTTAACTGGTTGGCTGAGGGGTGCTTTGCACACTGGTTTACCAGCCGAAAATAGCTAATGTCCCTGACAGAAGGAAAGACTGACAGTTCAAGACGGCCACAGACAAGGTATTATTTATTGAAACAACATTAATATCAAGGGATACCAAAAATGATGTCAAAGATTCAACTATCTTGTCACTCAATTTTTTGGCAGAAATTAAGAACAAATTTTACATTATTTTTATAAACAGTAAATTTCAATTTACCTTTTTCTATAGTGTACCTATGCAACACATCAATTTGAACAAATTAAATGAATAAAAACACAAATATTGTAAATGAAAATATTTTATTTGTCGCTACCGTCAATTTAAAACAAAGAATTACCGGCACCAAAGATCACACAAAAGATGCATGATTTTATATTACTGTTATTGGTTATAGAACACAACAATTCTACGCTGACATTCCTTAGGATCAAAAGGACAGCATCAATAAATTTCTGCGGCAGTAGGCTTTTTGATAAATATGTTTTGAAGTGAGTACAAGTTTGTCTACAAATGCCAACAGCTCCACCAATGCAGTTATTGTATTGGGCCATTATCATGATTACCCCCAGGCCAATGTAACCCTGAAAACAAATGTCACAAAAATATTCATCAAACAAAATATGCAAATTCAATTTTCTGATAAAGCTTGTACTTAACACATGATTTTCACAAACCCTCTAAATATTTATATGAAATTACATGTATTATAACAATTTTTTACTACTAAGCAATGAACTTTGGGAGACAGATTATTGGGGTGAATTTGGTGTGTGATGGGTGTGTGGTGTGTGTGGTAAGGGGGGGGCAGTCCTTCCTAGGTGAC